GAAAAACCCAAAAAAATTAGTTTTTGGTGATTTCCTTAGGTATGAGAAATTGATCAAAACATCACCCATTGATTATAGACTTAACTTTGGCTGTTTTAGATACTATAGAGACTTGGCCGCTCAGGTTCTTGGTGTCCGCCTAGGCGCTGGGAGCCTGGACCCCTCAGGCCGCCTAGGACTCGCCTAACGGCTTTTTGAAACATTGCATTTTGGATCAGGTGCTCGAGTCAGTCGAGGATCTCAATTCGTCACTACAATGAGATCTGGCGCCAAATCCACATGGTTGCAAGCCCTCTTCTCGATGAATGGTGTCCTCCAACCATCGCAACCTCTAAGTAGTTTCACGTATGTCTCATCGGATACTCTCGAAGTCCGTGTTCTTGCTCTCCTGAATTTGTTGACTCACATACTCTCTTATTTGCGACAACATATTCTCAGAGTGTAAGAGCAGGTTTCGACGGCATTGTTATTGATACATCGTACTTACTCTGATACCAGCTGATGCAGGGCAAATGGAGGGAATAAATAATTAAAATAAAAATAATAATAAGGGGTGAGAGAATATACCCTCTCTTAGGGTCTGCAAGGGAATCCACCCCAAAGATCTTTTCACAAGATCAACTCTTTACTGAATCACCAAATTCTCTATTTACAATGAGGACTTCCTTTTCTTAAATACAAAATAAAAGAAATAAAAAATGAAAATAAGAAAAAAAACCATAAAACTCTCTCTCTCTCTAAAACTCACGTAAATCTTTCTCTATCTCCCTCCCACGTTATCTCTATCTCCTTATTTCCTCTCTCACATGGATCTCTATATGCGCCTCCATAAAATCTCTTTTTAAATTTTAAGTCATAAAAGTGGTACTTCTTTAGGTAAGCCCATTTACCCCAAGTGTATAACTTGAAAACCCTACCATGCCTAACTTTTCTCTTTAATACCAACTAATCCTAGCTTATCCTAAAATCCAACCCCCTAACCACAAAAAAAAGCTCACGCCACACCCACCCAATTCCTTAAAAAGATAACCCGTTTAAAAATAATTTTTTATTTTTAATTTCTGAATTTTCATCTGTGCTAGGTTTAATTAGGGTTGGGCTTGAAGGCATAGAATCCTCCTATGGCTGGGCTTACCCCTTTATCTCCAAATTGCAAAACCCTAAGTAGGGTTTCAATGTGCCACCCTTATCATATCAAATTTTGGATGGTATGACCCTTTCCAGAAGGGGGAAGAGAGAAAAATGAATTTTTTAATGAAAGAGAAATTTAGTGCATGGAGGAGTGAGAAATATGTGTGATGAGAGAAAAGGGCTCAATGGTGTTTAAATAGAAAGAATTCCTTCTCCTATTAGAATTCCTTCCTTAGGTGTCGCTTATCCAAAGACACAATTTGACCAATAGGAAGTTAAGAAATCTGTGGGGTAAGAGAGGACAAATCTGAGCCATCCATCCCACGAATCAACCATCATGATTTTTGGAGGATTAATCCCCTTATAATTTTACCCAAGTCTTACTTCTATTTAAATTTTATCCCTTAAGTTTTGGATTGATTAGAATTCTAACTTAATTTTTTAAATTAGAATTATAATCAATCCAAAACTTCCTAATATCTTTCCAAAATCTGTAGGAAGCCAAAATAATTAGAGTTTTGGTCAAACCAAACTCCTATTTACAACAATCTTTTTAAAAACATGACTCTCACTTGAATCAGAATCAAATAATTTTTTTTTCTTTTTTAATTTTAAAACATTTCTAACTAACTGAAACTATTAACTAGAATTGGCACATAAACAAAACAATGGGGTGTTCCACCCTAGGGACTTTATGTGGGCCCTACAATGCCACACATCACACTCATAGGGGGCACACACGCATGTGGGGACGGGATCGTAGGTCCCCACATGTCCTGCGTAGTTCTGAAAATTTTGAAACTACCCTTTTTAATGAGTTTACAGCAGAACTAAATTTTTAAAATTCTGAAAAAATTTGTAAAAATCACAAAAACATCTTTAATGCCAAAATAAAATATTTTTTTTTAGAAAAATACCAAGTTAAAATATTAGTAGTGGACTGGTAAATTGGGTCAAAATTAGTGACATAAGAGCGCTCCACTTGACCGAAGAACCATGATCCATTACTGCTTTCTTATCCAACCCAACGAAGACCCATGGCCCATTGTCTCAATGCAGGGGCTCATGATTGGCTTGTCATGTTGGACGACAAAATGTAGAACCATGATTCTGGAATGTGGATTACAGTTCCTCCTTTAAGAACAAGTCCAACACTTGTCATTACTGTACAAAAGGGGCTCTCTATATGCACATGTACATGTGTCCCTCAATAGAGCTGCTTCCTAATAGTGTGGTTGTCATGTGTACATGCTGTGTAGAAGTTTGTTGAGGCTTTGGCTCTTACTTTCACATGCTTACAATCGCACATAGGAGACCACATAGTTCTCCTGGCCTATAAACATCATCCCTAGGCATTTTTCTGACCTCCACAAGGGATGACCCACTGTAAACCCTTCTCGATAGTGCCACATTCCCAAAAGTAAGGGTATATTTAGGGCTATAAATCGTTTAACCCATGGTCAGTCAACACAAACACTCTCACTGATGTGCGTATTCCACTATCAATTATCATTTTTACAAGCCCTGTAGGCCTTTAAAGGCCACAAAACTCAACACTGCCGAGGCAGTAGGGCAGGGCAAGGTACTAATTGGGTAGGGGTTCTCTCCTGCAACCAATCCTACAATTCACCAATAGCCCATCAGTTTGGCTGAGACAGATTCCCATCATATTGGTCTTAGTCCATATTAATCTTGAGTCCTGTGGACAAGTCAGAGCACGTTAGAAGTAACCATTAGTGATCGACTTGTTGGTTGTCCACGTTTGCTAAAGATAGGGTATCATTTAGTAATTGTAAATCGGAAATTTGAGGGTCCCTGCTTGATGATGCGAAGCTGATGATGAGTTTTGGGTCGTATATCTTAGAGATGGTTCTACTAAATATCTCTCTTACAATGGTGAAAAGGAAGGAGGTCACCTTGGCATTTGGAGAAAAAGCCTTGCCAGCTGCCATTTTAGAGGGCCAAGAAGTATGTTGAACCTATATAACCTGAACGCCACCTTCTCCACCTACTCCCAAACCCCATAAGACATGAACCTTGTCCACACTTTTTCAGTCTATGTGATCACATGCCTTTCAAGCTTGAATAATGGGCCTGCTAGTTTGGATCGGTTGTGAGAGTAAATACATTATGAGAGATTATAGAAGATTTAAAACTCAACACTGGTTATGGTGGGGCGATTTGGTTCAAGTGGAAGGCTTTAAAAGGGCAAGAGGAAGGGGAAGGCCCAAAAGGACATGGATGGAAGTAGTGAGAAGAGATATGGTGATTTATAGTTTGATTGAGGGTAATGGGCCTTGATAGAGCAGAATGATAAAACAAGATTCATGTAACCGACCCCAAATAGTTGGGATTCGACTCGGATGATGATGATGATGATAACCTTGGCTTGGACTTGTCAGGGTCTTGAGCCCTAGTTAGTGGTGTAACTTGGCGAAATTCTTTGTCAAAATTACACAAAAGGGACCCTCAGTGAGATTCAAGACGGTATGAGGTTCCAAAACCAAACCTAATGCGATAGTGAGAACTGAGAAAGTATGGATGTCTGAATTTTGAGCGTTTCCCAATGTACAGAAAAAGATCAAATTCAAATACAATGAACACTGGACGAGCATAAAATATGAAATTGTAAGGGACTATTTTTTTAATTTTGATAATAAAATGGGATTTTTCAGTAAAATTCCCTTTTTCTAAATCCATATTTTAAATCGGCATAAATGGTTCTTTAGACAATGAAAAATCATAATTAAAAACTTGAAAAAAAATGTAAGGGATGATGTACTAATCATGTTCCTAAGAGTTCTATAAAATTAGGACCTCGTTATGGTCCCATAAATGGAAGGAAGCCTTTTAGCTAGGACCCTATTGTAAATAGAAAAATTTGAAGGCTATGATTAAATCAAATGAAATCAAGGGATCTTCTTGCTTGATGATGATAGAGACAAAAAGACACTAGGTTCCTAGTATATCTGCATTTGTAGACTCCTTTGCTTTGTTATGTTTTTTTTTTTTTTGTTTCATGCTGTACAGCATTTGAAGTCGAACAATTGTTTCTTGTGGGCTGGACCACATTTCTACAACATGCAGTAAAGAGGTATAAAGCATCCATCTTAAAGATGGATGCAAATAGGTGGTCCATCTAAAAACAATTGTAACTAACGGTCCAAATGTTCTCTTAATATAATTATTATTTCTAGTTTTCAAAAATTATTTATTTCTTCATAGTCATGATCTCCATGTTAAAAATTATATATTCTCTAAAAATTAGGATCAAATTATATTTTAAAAATATATTTATTGCCAAGCCTGCATTTGTACATATGTGGGCTCCACCGCATGCTAACCGCGTCCTTTGAAGTTTCCTAAAAAGTAAAAAACAAGAGGTATCGACCGCCACAGCTCATTGTCCTCTTTCCCCTGACTCTGTGAATGAAGTTGAACAAATATCACTTTGCTACAGAACTTGAAAATACCTCAGATAGTTATAAGAAGCAAAACAGGAAATCTGGAAGAGGGGGAGAGAGAGAGTCTGGAGGTAGTTCTGTAGTGAACTAAGTATGCTTTGGGGCAACCTATATTCTCTCACTTGAAAAAATAGTGTGCTTTGGGACAACAGATGGGGACCTATTTTTTCTAACTTGAGAAAATATAGTGCATTGTTATAATAAGGGAAAATTTTGTTTTGTTTTTTTTTTTTTTGAAATTAAAAGAAAACGTTTTTGTTAGTGAGCGAAAAGTGAAGGTACCCCTCATACTCGTATTCCTATTCATATTTTTCAGTTGATGGGGTTTGTTTTCCGCAGTTTGTCTTTTGGTCTATAATCCTACATGGAATTGACAATCCTGACCATTTATGAGATTTGCAACAGTTGAAAGATCTTGCCGAGAGACTACCTGTTGGAGCTGCAAGGAAGCTCTCTAGTGATATCTCAACTGTACATGGGGATCGACTAAATAACCAGTTAGTCGTTCATGAATCAGAAACCAATGGCACCACGAACTCATCTGTTACTAATGGCCCAACAATGACTATTAGCAACAGGAGTTTGAGTCAAGCTCGACCCATGGGTGACCACGAAGCAGCAACAAAGAATGGGAGCAAAACAATGAGCCAAGATGGTGCAGACCATGCACAGGAGAGAGTTGTACAAGATGAACCCGGTGTGTACATCACCCTCACCTCCTTACCTAGTGGCGCTGTGGATCTAAAACGGGTGCGCTTCAGGTATATTTTAATGCTCTATAGCCCCTCCCCATTGAATCTTTATATTCTTTTTTTTGTTGGAAGTCTCTCTCTCTCTCTCTCTCTCTCTCTACACAAGTGAATAATAAGAGCTCTTCGTCCTTTCTCTCACTAAGTGTTAGTGAATAAGATGAGCTCCTCTACAAGCATGCTTGAGTTCCAATAGCACGTGTTCTCTCTCTCTATATATAATCTGTGTGTGTGTTACAATAGCCTAATACGCATATGCTTGAATTGTTTTTTTACATGCATTCTCAATTTAGAGTTATGTAGGGATCTGGTGCAATTATACTTGCCTCTCTCATCTTTCTTTGTCTGGGTGTTCGTCCAATATATCTCCCTCCATTGCCTGTATATTTTGTTGTTTGATCATTTGTACAAAATCTCTATGCAGTCGTAAACGGTTCACTGAAAAGGAAGCTGAGTTGTGGTGGGCAGAGAACAGGGCAAGAGTGTACAAACAATATAATATGCAGTTGGTGGAGAAACCACCCAATGATGGTGTTGGGGATGGGAATGCTGATGCATCCTGGTGATCATAGGGAGTTCTGCTTTGTCTGTGTTTCAACTCGAAGCCTTCGGTGTGAAGTCTGATCTGATTCATTTGATGCCTCTCTTACTCCTCTTACCCTTAAGAAAAGTTGGCAATTTGAGAGAGAGAGAGAGAGGATCTCCATTTACCATATTCTTTGGGAGGGTAACCGGATCTTGGGCTTGAGGTGAATTTGGTTTTTATTTTTATTTTCTGTTTTTTTTTGTAAATTGTTCGTGGCTGGCTGGCTTTTATTCAGTATAGCTGCCTTGTAAATGATAATGAAAGATGTGCTTCTTCGGGTAAATATATATATTTTGTTGAGAAGTTCGGGTAAATATATTCTATTTTTGATATAGCACATGAAGACCCCTTTCTTCCTCTCTCCATTAGCAGGGATGTATTAATTTTATATTGTATCCCCGGTGGGAATAAAAATCCCACCCTGATTCATATTATGCATTTGATTTGTTTAGTTACTGTCAATTGGTGATGTGAACTCATGCCCCACGATTTTCTGATGGAGCTCACTTCCATAACCCATCATCCCTGCTGAATTTCTTTCCCTGTCCAGAGAGAGAGAGAGGTACCAGAGCAACGTCTATAATGGAGTGGTGATTAAGCAGCCCATTGCTCAGGTCTCGTCTCTATTGTATGCCAAATTGCCAATACAATGACTTGCTGCATTTTTTTTTGTTTCGGTAGATGAATCCCCTATGCCCTTCCTTTGTGAATTCAGTCTGATGGGATGTATGGATATAGGGAGCGGTGTGTATAGAGCCTAGTCTCCAAACAATCAAATTAGAGCAGACCTTTATTTATAAAATTTAAAACTTAAAAAATAGTGTAGATATGTATGAAAACTTGAAAATTTTGCAAATTGACGGTCTAAAAATGTGTTAGAAAATGCACTATTTTCAAAACTTGAAATCCATTTTTTTCTTACGTCCATACATCTCGATATCGAGATGATAAATTTGAGGATATTTGGGTATCAAAACAACCTCTTCTAATGAAATTTTTGAAGTAGGCTCTAATTTGGTTGCTTGAAGCCTCAGCTCCATATAAACTTTTCTCATATATAGAGCTCACCTCAAAAATTTCACTACAAGAGGTGGTTTTGATGCTCAAATGTCCTCAAATTGATTATCTCGACATTAAGATGTATAGACAAGAGAAAAAAATGGATTTCAAGTTTTGGAAATAGTATGTTTTGTAACACATTTTTGAACCGTCAATTTAGAAGATTTTCAAATTTTCATATATCTGTCGATCTATGCTTATTTTTTAAGCTTTAAACTTTATAAATAAATATAAAAATACATTTTAAGGCTATCACAAAGATTATCAATATTGAAATCACATTTTTTGACACCATTTTAGAACCTAGGCACTATACAAACCGCACCTTATACGATCTACACTATTTTTGAAGGTTTACACCTTACAAATAAAGATGAAAATATATTTTAAAGCTATCACAAAGATTTCCAGTATTGAAACCACATTTCTCAACACCATTTGAAGTTAGGCTCTAATTTAGTTGTTTAGAGCCTATGCAGTATACAAACTGCACCATGTCCCACTGTTTTCTTTATATAATTATTATTTCTAGTTTTCAATTTTTTTTCATATTCATGATCTCCATGTTAACAATTTTATATTCTCTAAAAATTAGGGTCAAATTATATTTTAAAATGTATTTCATATCAAGCCCGCATTTCTACAATATGCGGGCTCACCGCACGCTAACCTCATCCATAATATAATGAAACAATTTCCAAAACCTAGGTTAAGGTCATTTATTTAACCTTATATTCTAAATATACATTCAAATTATTCCAATAAATGACCACAAAACAATAAAATTTGAAAACACAATTTAGAAAGTGTTTTTTTAGGTCAATTAACATAGGCCATCCATTTTGAGATGCTTAGATCTAGGCATTAGAAGGATATTTTTTCCGTTCCAAAATTTTTAGATGGCTTTACTATCACTAGATTAACAAAGATAAAAATAAAAAATGATTTTGAGTTTGTAATGGCCTAGATCTTGAAATGCACTAAATGGATGGTCTAGATTATTGTTGGAAGGACTTATTTTAACCATATCTATGATGTAAATTGATTTTTTTTTTTTTGATTGATTATTAGGATAAAGAGAGGGTGTGTGTGATTTTTGGGGCAACACAAATGCTACAAATATGATTTT